TTTTTTTTTTTTTCTTTTACGTGCTTCTGTAAATATAATCTTGAATTCAAGTACTTACGCTTCAGCGCCTTGAATAGCACCTTGAGCAACTTTAATTAAACTGAACGATTTATACGTCAAACGTAACGACCGTGAAATATTTCTACGAAATGCTAGTACAAACACGCCTACGTCAATTTAGTTTGTCATAAAGGGGCAGTTTAATTTCCTCGCTATGCCCATTAAATCGATCGTAACTCGTCCAAAACTCGCATCCCTTTGCCACGATGGAATTATTAAAAGCCCTCCACCGGTAAGAAAGGTCAAATAGCAAACATATAATCCAGCCGCTGAAGTACTTCATTGATAACAGTAATAAACGAACTCGAGTCCTAGTCGATCGTTTCCTGGCCTTTTCGCGCGATTGAACCAATTTTATTAGCGAAATTTGTACAAATTACAACTTACCGGCGTTAATGAGTTCCCTCGAGTGTAATAAATTTGATGACAAAACGAATGGAGTTCTAATACTCTACGAGTCAATTCGAATATAGTGAAACTACATAGTGCAAGTTTAGGATCTACAACTTGTTTTGGATATTGAATATTTTCAAACAATTTTATTCCTCGGAATTGAGATCTCATGAATTGTATGTGATTTTCAATGTTGGTTCAATGAGATGGTATTTCTGCTTGAAAATTTTCAGCGTTTCGATCATATGAAATTATTTATTTAGAGGAAATGTAAATTCTATGCGGCAATGATATATATATGGAATACGGATGATAAATATATATTTCACGTAATATATATATAATAAATAAATATATATCATGTAATATATAAATAACTGAAATGAAAGAGAATTGATTTAACGCTAAATTTCTCATTTGAATTATCAATTTTAATAAAGGAATTGTTTATATTTAACGCTAACTGGAATGATCACAGAAAATTTCCAAGAAAAAAGACAAGCATTTGTCCGGAATTCAATCCCTGAAATAGATACACAAAATTCATAAATGTTTTACAAAAATATTGGGTGCTTTGTTACTTTGTAAACCAACAAAAAAAAAATACCATATGATTGTATGGATATTATCAGCGTTACATTTCAAATTTCCATGTCCCATAAAACAGCCAAATACATCAAACACGAGAATACAAAACGCCACAAGAGGGCCATGAAAAGAAACGTAAAAAATCCTGGTTTCCTGAAACCCGACCATACAAATAACAATGTTCACGGCATTCCGCACACCCAACGGAATAAACTTTGAAGAGGGATTTTCGCGTCTTTTTCTCTCCATTCCATTGCGGCGCCGGTGGAAATTTAGCAATTCGCACAGATAAAAGATAAACCGACTAGCCGGCAGCGAGGCACTTACGAAATTAGACGAAGAGCGTGAGCGATTTCCCGGAAAACGAAGAATGTGTGCACGGTGATCCACATACGGTTCATTCAAGTAGCTGCAATACCATGACCGAGCACTTGACCTTCGCCAGCCCGTGAACTCACGTCCGAAATTTTACGAACGGCGTTTCTTCCACTCGTTTCCTCTCGTTCCCTCCTCCACATCCGGCGCGCGTATATTTCATCACGTCCTCGTTCGTTGGACGATACGGCGGCGAGGCGTTATCCTCGTTGCACGCGGACCGCGATGCACCGATCGATCGTCGGCTGCATGCTCGACGAAGGGCGCAACGTTTCGCGCTTCGACGGCGCACAATGCGACAAGAACCGCAGCTCTCTCTCTCTCTCTCTCTCTTTCTCTCTCTCTCTTTCTCTCTCTCTCTCTTTCTCTCTCTATCTATCTATCTATCTATCTATCTATCTATCTATCTATCTATCTATCTATCTATCTATCTCTCTATCTCTCTCAATCTATCCCCCTCCCTTAACGAATGTCAAGAACGGTATTCCGTGGCTTTCGCAAAGAGCAGATGACGTTGTGTAGCGAGCGTCACGGGCATCTCGCGGCGCCGAGGATCGTCGAGGATATTTTGATTATACTTTCTCCTCTGAACGACGCTTCTTTCTTCCTCTTCTTGCCTTCTGCGGAAATTTTTCGGTGAAAATTGGACGGTGTTCTTCCAGTTTCGTTTTCGCCCCTCCTCTCTTTCTTTCATTACACCTTTCGTTGATTAACGTTGGAAGTACGCGGCAGGTGTCCTTTTCTTTAGAATTGTTGAAAACTAGCACTATACCATACAATAGTTGCGCTACGCGCGAGAAGTACGCCGAGGAATAATTCAGATTTCTCCTTGGTATTATTATACCACACCGTACTATCGTATTAGCGGCGCTATACGCTGGAAGTCAGACTAGATCTATTTTAGATTTTCGTTTCTTCGAATCACCGACGAAAGCTAACGCTTACTGCTTTTACATACTCCAGTTCTTTTCAGAGTTCAGGTTTTCTTTTTCTTTTCTTCTCGTCAGAATTAAATCATTAACAATCACTTGAGTTGCAATAATTTGTAATATTTGGAGACTGGTAGTTCTAATGTTACGTCATTGTACAGAATTTGGAGTGTTTTTTCGATGGGGGTAGCTTTTGATTTGGATTTCCTCTAGATGATATTTCGTTTTGTTTTTCTTCTTTATTTTTTTTTTTTTTTTTTTGTTTGGCATTTTATTGTCGTTTCACTTTTTTAAGCCAATGTTTTTTTTCCCCCTTTTTGTTTCTACCTTCCCAACTTGAAATTTTGGAATTTTGAAAAAGCGCTGGATTAAAGGATTACTTTCGAATGACACGCTCAGCATTGTTGAAGGGTAGATTCCGCGCTTTTGTTCTTTGTTGCTTTTTTCGTGATGAAATTTTGAGGGTAGTTTGTATATTATATTTCAGTTTGCTCCCTTTACTTTGATCTCTTCGCTGTTTTTTCTCCCCTTTTTCTTACTCTCTGTTGGTGAATATTTCCTCGGCTCGGGATTTTCGAATCTACCGGATTTGTCGAGCAACATGCAAGATATCGCTGACGATGGCGAACTGAAAGTGATTAATTTTCTATTTCCGTGTATTGTTTAATATCACGTCGCGAAGCATGGAATTTATTGGACGTTGGATTAAGAGCTTAAAGGATCCCGATTAATACGAATACAGTCGTGAATTTATGTGAAAATAACAATAATAGGTCTTTAGACATTTTCAAATATCTTTCGAGCTAATAATTTTACTCGAAACGTTAAATCGTATCTCATCGTAAGGAGTGAATTGTCAATATTATATATTCGCGAAAATATTTCTGATTTAGCAAATTGCAATTGCTAAAATCACGTAAATGCTTTTAACAAAATTAATTTGCTTTTAACTGAGACAGAAACATGGTTACATATACTTCTGTTTGTTTTCGTCATATCGTTATTTAATTATATCTAAAGTTGAATAAGATTCTGACCGATAGAACGACGTAAAAAAGTGTCCTGAAAGATTAATGTAAGAAAAGATAGCATCGTTCCTGAGATAATTTAATTCCTAAAATAAATCCCTCCAAATCCTAACGATACTGTATACGAGAACATAACACTCGCAATCTTTCGCTTCCTTTAAAACCATCCCCCAGCGAGCAGTTCCTCGAAGAACGTCCCATTAAACTTCCACCCTGATACTCCTGACTCGCTCCGAAGAATTCTTCCCCTTAGACATCAATATTCACGCCTGCAAACATTCCTCCGCAATCGCCATTTACACCCAACATTCATCCTTTCTCTGATTCGTAAACCTTCCATTACTCAGAATACATATTTATACACGTGAAAAGTACAATTTCAATGTAAAATTGAAATTCCCTCGATAAATGTTGCTGTCGTTAATTAAAATATCTTCGAGGCATAAAATGTAGCTGAATCCACGCCTTTCGATTTAAAATAGTTTTGAAATGTTACATAAAGATTTTTAACTTTATGAAGGTGAGCAATAATTGGGAGAAATATTTTCAAATATTTTGGCTCGAACATGTTGAAAAATAAAAAGATACTGGACGGTGGAATTTTTGACCCATTTCTGACTAAACCTGCAATTTAAAGTGACTTGATTTCGGAATTCTGCAATTTGATTTACCAATCTTCATCGTGAAGAGTTTAAAGTACAAAATAAAATTAAATACCCCAGACTTTACTGAGGTAAATATTATCATAATCGTTTCTTAACCAACGATACTTAAACTTGAATCTTGAAACTTTCCCGGCGGGATATTTAAAATGATAATTTGTTCGTGAGAAATATGTATTATTTATTAGGACTATCATTACGAAAATTTTATAAATAACTGTAGAACTTTATTATTTCTATAATAATCCGTCAATATGACTGATTTCAGACTTTCCTTTTTTCCCACAGG